AAATTGGTACTGCCTGTTCTTGTCACTGACCACTAACAAAAATCTTCGAATTTGAAACAGGCTCTAAATAACTTACCTTTTCAGATGAACAGAGAAAAAAGCAAAACAAAACAAATGCTTCAGTGGAAAAACTGGTAGCACCAATTTGTGAAACAGCCTCTGACAGCATTTCAACCAGAAGAATTGTTTTGGCTGCTGTGAAAATTGGTGCTACCACCACGCTGTGAAGACTTAATAGCAGGTGTTGTGGTACCCGATCTTCTTCATAGTACTCACTGGGAGCAGAAACTTGAACCAGTGTAACACACTGAACCAACTCTCATATCCTCTTATTACCTTTTTCCACAAAAAAATGTTTTATCAGGAATGCTTACAAATCAGTGCATCTTTAAAATGAAAAGCCGTGGCATTTTTTTCCCCCCACAAGTATCCTGTTTGCATCGGGCTTACAAACAGAGGAAAACCTTCTGATGACTTGGTAGTTCAATGCTTCTAGCACCTGTTCATATACACCTGTATACCCAGAGGTCCTGTCAGCTCCCTCCCGTATGCTTTTTATGGCTGTCCCACTATTCTAATAAAAGATGTAATCCATGTAGACACACTCCAGTTAGCTCCAGCAGTGACAGGCAGAGCAGCTGCAGGGAAGACAGGGAAAATTAGAGAATCTTTAAGATTATGTTTTGTAAAGCGCAAGTGTATTTCTAAAACACATTCTGATTGAAAGAACATAAAAATCCAACAATTAAAACCATCTTCCAAGGCAGCAGGTGGCCCTCGACAAAACTTCAAATACATGACAATTTTAAGAGAAAATCACAAAGGTATGTAATGTTAAAATGGGCACATGTAAGTGCTGAATTAGTGCTGATTTAAGATTGAGATTACCTGTCTTATTTTCCAGTTTTTCCCTTCCCTTGGTCCCTCCCCCTAACACAGCTTGTAAATTATCCTCTACTTGCTACTGTGGGTGTTACAGCACAGTGGGTTATGGCCTTTGCATACACGTAAAAGAAAAAAAAAAATCATGTCAAGGAAAACATGCTCTGCTGAAAATTTGCAGTTACAGGGATTGGAGATAAGGTGGGGAACACATTATGACAGATTCACATTTCTTAAATAGCAATCCTTCCCAGTAATGCCTGTTTTTCTTTACTAGATGTACAACGGTATTAACAGATCTTGAAAAAGGTTACATATCCTGAAATTCTGGGGTCTCAAAGCAAGACACAGAAAACAAAACAAGGGACAAAAAAGTACCATTAACAGTGAAAGAAAGTTTAGAATGGAGCATGTACAGGAGCAAGTCAATACAAAAGCTTTAAACTGTGAGTAGAAAACAGGGGGAAAGTGCTGGAAGAATAATATGGTAAATGAACTTTAGCATTTATCACAAATCAGCTGAGGAGTGCTCTGCACACTAGTGAGGCAAAAGGAATGGGTTTTGACAATGATCTTGAACTTCACAATGCAAACTCTCTAATGAGCACTACAGATCTATTCCAAGAGGTCAGAAGGAAATGTGTCTTGATTAATGCAATGAACACTTACAGAAGTCCATTTTAAAGATGTAAGAAATTAAAAAAAAAAAAACTTTAATATTTGATTAGTACCATTTTTATTTTTTTTAGACATACCACAGGAACAGGGAGAACACTTTGCAGAAACTTGTAAGTGCCAAGTGGTATGCATATGTGGGTATGTCCTTGCGTCTGTCCTGACAAGTCTACAACCCAGCTAGAGGAGAGCTGGACTAAGAAAGAAGATCTCACAGCTTAGGGGTTACTGCCTGCCTGCAATATAGATATTGTCCTGAAACATTCCCCCGTTTTTCCCAGCTGCTTCCATCATTCTGTTTTTTGCTGACCCCACTTTGTCCTCAGCTCTGCACTCAGAACCAGTCACTGTGTGCATCTGCTTTTGATGAAAAGTTAAGTCAGCAGAGAGAGCCAGTGGAAAAGCAAAACACTGCTTGTTCTTGGTATTGCATGTTGTCAGCAGCAAAGGGGAAAGCTGCTCCTTTTGTACCTTAAACCAAGAGGCATTACACTGCAGTAATACCTGTCCATATACTCCTATTTCCAAGGTGATGGGAAACACACTATTACACACTAACATACACTATTGCCAAGGTAATGCGTTCTGTCTCCTAAGAGCCAAAAATAAAATTAACTATCACCACCTTTTTTGTCCTAGGCTGTCCTAGCAGTCACAATGATTAAATGTTGGCTGTTTCCCCACCAATTTCTGCTACGTAAAGTGAGAGGTGGTGGCCCTGGATGACCAAGGGGCCAGTCATTTCCCCCCTGGATGACAGCTTTAAAACCAGAGCCCCATAATTGCTGGAACAGCCTCTTCTCTGAGTGAGTGGCACAGATGCTTGCTGCATTTGCACTCTCACTGTCGTCTTGGCAATAAAAAAATACTGCTGGCTATATTAAGATGCTGGCAATCATTCGAGCAGTTTGGATAATCTAAAGTTGGCAGAAGTCCTTGCCAGCTACATTTCAAAAAAGAAAAAGGACACTGAAAAAAAAAAAAACCTTCTGCTTCAGAGTCTTCAAACAATTCATCTCTCAGCCTTCACACAGTCACAGAGAGAGCTGCAGCAGACTGGGACAGAAATGGCACTGCATCCAACCAACTTCTTCAGTGGGAAAAACGAGTCCACTCTATGAAGTCTCTTCAGCCACTGAACAGTCTTTAGTACACTCTCCCCCGCCCCCGCTCCCCCATAACCTCCTTTTTCTATTTTTCCATAAGGCTATTTCAGAACTTGGTTTCAACTGACACTAAAGACCTAACTTGACAGTAAAATTTATGTTCTACTCCTGACAGGAAAATAATGGCAACTTTAGCATAACCTTAACTGCTGTCTACTTAACGAAGAGTGGCATTCCTCAAATTGTGGTAAGGAAAATTAGTAGTCAGTCACCCCACATTACTACACATAATTTAAAATAAATTATAGTCTCAAAAATGCAAATAAACTGCCTGGTAGACATTCAGTTAAAGCAACCAGAATTAAAGCACGCAATCAAAGCACCAAATCAGATTCACGTAAGCAGACATTCTTACGCAGTGTTTTCTTTAGTTTATTCTAACTTGAGCTATTACTTACTTTACCGTCCCCTTTAATTCTCTTGATAGGAAGTATGTCTGTGCCAGATTCTAAGCATTAAGTTTATTCCGCTCAATAACCTGAAAACTGAGAAGGGCTGTTATCAGATTGGGTTTTTTCCTTCCCCTACTGTTTTACTCTACCACTAATTATTCAGTCAGAAATCTGTTGCATATTTCATTCAGATGAGTTTTTTGGCAGTAACTGAGACTTCTTTAGCAGTTCACTACAGTTTATATTAATTATCTGTTGCTAATTAAAATGATGTTTTATTGTCACAAAAGAAAATCCTGTTACAGAAACTAATGAGCTGCAACCTTCAGTAACTGAGAGGATGTGTTTACAAGCATGAACACTTAATGCCAGTGTCAATCAGGTCTAATTGGGATTAACCTTTAAGTGTTCAGTACTATGCATAAACTGAGGTGGAATTAGAGGGAAGCACAGTCAGCAAAATATCAGTAAATCAACAGATATAAAGAGAAGCAATGTTAGAAACAGTCCTAACTACAGCATTCAGGTACTGCTTAAATTAACCTAAGTAAACTACGAATTACAGTTGGGTTTATGATTTTGTTAAAAAAATTGTCTATGCAGGTATCTTGTCAATGTTCCCCCCTAGACAGGATCAGTGAGATGCAAGAGACTACTTATTAACATGAAACAATGTATTTAATTGCTTTGGATAAACTGTTTAGATAATACACATCCAGAAAATGTACTTAACAATTCCAGCGCCGGTACACACCCAAGTGCTCCCTAGGGAACCAGGTATTTCACCTCGTGCTAAGCACATCCAGTCTCAAACTGGGTAATCTTATTTTCATGGGTGCTGAGCACTGCAGTTCCCAATGGACTTAGTAGTGGATCACCACGACCTCCGACCACAGGCAGTCATTTCGGAGACTGACCTGAAGTATGTAAAATATGGAAACTTAGCCAGGCTACTCAACCACTGGTAACTTCCAATTGGTTGCGTTCTACTTTATGCTGAGGAAGCTATAGCTTAAGAGAAATAATGGCTAAATATCTGCTATTAAAAATGGAACCACGTCCTGTGAGGCTAAGTAACAGTAAAGCATGGCTACTACAATGTGGAGATGTAATTAATTTGGTCCTCTGGATCAGTCTATCAGCATGGCATTAAACACCACCAGCGTGTTGTATGGATGCCTTACCAAGGAGGTTTTGTTTGTTTGGTGGGTTTTGTTGTGTTTTTTTTTTTTTCTTTGCTTAAAATGAGAAAATAAAATATGGGCTTGATGTTCTAGATCAAAAAAGGCACAGTAGAAATCAACTGGACATTTATTTGATAGCATGCAGAAGTAAATTTATCCCTCCCCTATTAGAAGGAAGACACCAAGAAGATCCCCAGATTCGTCTGGTTTACTAGGGCTTAAAAGTCTCTACTTTTAACACAACATAAGAAAAACAAAACCCAGAAGTGGTGCATTGAAATAGTCAGCCTCTCCTTCAGGACCTTCTTTAAAAAAAAAAGTCAGAGGCACTATTTGCATCCTGCTCATTAGTTCCTGAAGGAGAAGAGCCCCCATCACTCCCTCATAGGGTAAGAATGGGACTTGAGCTGTTTTCTGCTTTGTTTTTTGAGGAAACCAGAAAGGAAAGGGATTAAGAAAAAGTGTATTTGCCCAGTACACAAGAATATCTCCAGAACAGCTGCTTCTGTTTCTACGGTAACTATGACAACATACACGCAAATTTTAACAACACTCAGAACATTTTTGTGCAAGTTATCAGGAAAGATTTAATTTCTTGATTATGTGTTCAGAAGTTTCCACTGGCTCTTAAATCTTCTTGAGATTTCAGTCCCTGAGGACAACCATTTACTGCACACAACAAAATGAGTACAACAGACCAGTTGTTTTAGAAATGATTTAATTTACAAATGCATAGACTGCTTCTTAAAACAACCATGGTGCAAAATCTTACCAACCATACTCAGCTGGTTGCATTGATGTAAATTGTCTTTTGAGCTTCATTTACACTAGGAAGTCAATTTCTCCAGTAATGCTTCTATTCCTTTTACATTTTTAGTCAGCTTCAACTTTGGGACAAGCTTTTTCAGTCCTTTTTTGACTGTATTTGACACTTTTTCATCGGTGCTCCGGAGAAGGCTACAAGACACAGGGGAAAAAAAAAAAACAAACCATCAAAGGTCAGCAAGTAGGTCACAGGAAAAGAAGCTGTCCGTGGAAGGAAACAATAACTATTTAGGAAGAATATAGTTCAGGGCAGATTCTTCACCTCCTGTTAGACAAAACTTTTCAGAAGTGTGAAACACCAAGTGAGAACACAACCAACACAAGATAAATCAGGCTGGAAGAAACTGCAGATCCCTACTCAAAGCAGGTTCAAACACTGGGTCAGAACAGGTTGCTCAGGGCTCCACCCAGATAGGGCTTGAAACCCCACCCAGTGCAAGAGACAGCCCAATCCCACTGGGCCTCGTCCCTACTGCTGGGCTGTCCCCATGGGGAGGGAAAATGCTTCTCCTTTCTCCAGCCTGAGCCTCTTGTGTTTCAGCTTCTGCTGCTGCTGCCTCTCGCCCTCCAGCCACACATGCACTGCTCTCCTCCGCCCACTTTGGTGCTGTTGAGTGACCCCAAAGTTGTTCTTTCTCCCACCAGAACCAGCCCTGATCCCAGAGAACATCCTCCCAGACTAAGAGATCCAGCTCACAACTATGATGTGGGCTCTATTAAACATTAAATGTAGGGGCTCACCCTCTATTAAACCTGGTCCTGTTGTTGATACCTTTTCTTGTAGCAGAGATCCTAAAACTGGATGCAGTGATGTATATCTAATAAACATCAAGTACTTTCACTATTGGTACTTCTGAGCTATATTTAGCACAGGAATAGAGAGTCTAACAAATTCTGTTCTTTTCCAGATATTACTTTTGGAAAACAAACCAGCTTTCCCAGATCGTTCTTTTTTTTTTTTTTCCCACCAGAAACAAGGACATTCATTGTTAGCTGAAAAATACTACTATGAAAGAAAAAGCTTCTGCACTCTGCAGCTCAACCTAGGCAGTGATATTTCTTCCTTTGCGTAACAGTGAAGTGTTCTTAGATAATAAAAAAAATCAGTAGAGGTAATGGCATGCTTAATTTATTACCTCAAAACGATGAGTGAACACTGCCTAAAAAATGTAATGCCTTCTGCAGCCAATGCAATCCAGACAAAATTAAAAGTTGCACTGGCATACAAAGTTTTGGGGGGTGGGAAAAAAAACCCCAAACCTGTAACATCCAGACAGTGGTACCAAGCAGCTGCATGTTACTACAACTCTTTACCATCCCTAGAATTCTTCCAATTGGCTCACCAATCCGCAGCTACCTAGAAGCTTGTCTTGCGTACTTTTCAAATAAAGATTAGACATGGTGAGCTGAACCGAGAAAGACAGAAAAGGAACTAATGTAGTTGAAGGCAAGATTTAAATTTTGCCTCCTTAGGACTCCAAATCTGTGCAGGGTGGCAACACTAAAGGCAATAAAGGATGCCCATCTGACAAAACCACTATTTTCGGCTACTTTATTCCTAGACTTATTTCTACAACTATGACAAACAACTTCTAGCAGCAACTTCTGTCACAGTTTCAGCTATGACAGTAACACTTAATCAAGAGGCCTTCTTTAAAACTGAATTCAACACAGATGATGATATGTTTTCAGCTTTTCTGCAAGTTATGTACACACCTCTGAGAAGAGCAAGCAAGTCAAGAATACTAAGAAATGATGTGCTGAACACATGGTACTTAACATGGAGAGATTCACATGGTTCACCGCCAGAGACAAAGAGCATACGAAGCAGCAAGCCACTCTGGACTGCATTTTATTCGTAAAAATTGACTTCATCTGCCAACAGGTATACATGTAAAGCTACTTCCAAACTCCTTGTGTCCACAGATATTTCAAGACATTGTGTTTTTAATATAGAACATCTACACGCCTGATAATACAGCAAAAAGACCAGAATACGCTGGGGTTTTTTATTCTTATTCTGCAAGTCCTTCTAAAATCTGGTGAGCAGGCACCTATGAATTTTGTGGATATAAAATACATTTTATATAACACGTTTTACATGTTACAAAAATGAATACGGAAATAACTAAGTCATTTGGTGAAGTATGTTTTTATGCATTTTCCATCCTGATGTAACACATCACTGACAAATTCAAAAATGCTGAGTACAGATGCAGAAATGTAAACAGACCAGCATCAATGACATTCAAGTACTTCCAATGCTTTATTTACACTAAGATGGATTGTAATGTCTGCAAAGAGCCCTCTCGGACTCTGGGATCATTCACACTCATACTAGGTCAGAACCAGGCCCAAGTTTTTTTTTTTATAAAAATCAAATTAAAAGCAAGTAGGGCAATGGAAGGAAAGGGTCCAGAGGATACAAGGTAACTAAGCAGTCCAGCATATGCAATTAACTCAACTGGTGAGTAAGCTTCAATGACTAGAAAGCTAGAAGTCTTCAAATGGACTGACTGGGTAACTGAGATTCAGATCTTCATGTGAGTGGCAGATGGTTTCCAAAAGCCAACAATCACAGCTTCAGGGAGAACAGGTAGCATCTGAAAATGACCTCTGTAAGAGGGATCTGAGGTCCCTGATAACAAAAGAAATATCTGATTTTTTTTTTCCTTAAATGAGGTTTTGAAAAACATCAACAATTACTTTATGTAAAAAAATATTGCAGTTACTATCCATACCAAACTAAATTAAATTTATCATGGATCTATGATTTGGGTAACCTCTTGACTTCAATGCCTGTGGTTAAACAAAGATTACATTAATTACTGTGTGTCAGTTAGCAAGGTAAGGAGGTGTCACATGAAATGGAACAACAGCAGCTGGTTATGCTCGTGTGTTCTCAGCTGCCTAAACAAAAGGTTACCATGCTTAAGAGTCACCAAGAGTAGTTCAAGCTAGAAAGGATTCAGATTTAATTAAAATTAAAAAAAAACCCTAGAAACAAAATTCCAGCAAACAAACACACACACACTCCTCCCCCATACTTTTCTATCTATTTCCTGCCAGGTGGGTTTCAGTATTGGTGAAAAACGTTCCATTTACAACCTGGGAGATAAGCTCCCCGGCTTAACAACAAAGCACACTTGTCGAAGCCGCACCCTGTAGTGCCATGAGGCACTAGCAGAGAGAGGGAAAGACTGACATTCCTCACCAACTTTTTCCTAAAATATACCATTCCTGTGCTGCTTTTTGCTAATAAGTAATTATTAGTTTCCCAGTTTTTCCTGTAAGTCTGTTATGACAGCCAATCAGTTATTGAAGTGTTATACATGGAAAAAATTCCATTAATTTACTTTGAAACTTCATTTGGACAATCAAAATAGCTTAGTACGTAAACCAGCAACACCACATGTTTAATTAATCTCCTCAGCCCTGAGCTAGGGGAAGAAAGTCCCAGCATTAATACACTGTCAATCAACAAGTATTCATAAGAAATCTCTACTGAACATCTGTGTGCTGGATGAGGTAACTTAAAGGCATTAGATGCATTTATTGAATTCTAGAGGCCTATTGCGAGAGGCAAAGAAAACGTGTTACCATTTTAGCAGCTGAACAATTTTAATAGCCAGATCCATGTTACGATTCTGATGTTGTGTAAACTGGTTTTGTGTCTGGATTACAACTACTCTGCTACTACCATTTCTTCTCACTTGTAGTCTGAATGACAATGATGAAACCAAGTTAGGATTAAAATCAGATTAACTAACAGAAGTCCTGTTAGTGAAAACAGCTTTTGATTCAACCTGCAAAAGAGCATCAACATCAAAGCAACTGCACTCTACAGTCATAAAGAAGAGAGATAAAAAGCAAACAGCAAGGAGTCTAGATTAACTTCAGAAGAGGGAGAAGTGGGGCAGAAGAAAGGGAGATGATGTTTTTACTTTTCAAAATCATGTTGTCTGTTTGAATTATTTGCTGATTTTGGTTCAGTGCAAGTCCCTATGAGAAGCCAGCAGAGCAATGCTGACCCAGCAGTTCCAGAACACTCTGGGCTAAAGACAAATCCTTGGGTTTCTATGACCTGACAGTTACAAAGTGGAAACAGGGATGATTAACACTGCTGCTTACACCAGCTAAAACAAAATGTTGACGTTAGTCCAATCCCTCAGGGGTCTTTTTGATCTCCTTAGTTGCATTGTTCACTGCTTCAAAGTTGTAAGCCAGTTAGCTCATCATAAGCCTTTGCATGGTCTATTCCAAACACTTCACTACTTCGGTATGAGACATACCTAGGCTCCATAATGAAGGCATCAACATAAAGCAGTAAGTTATAGAAACCAAACCAAAAGAATCTGGAGTCCTGCATGCTGCTGCCAGTCCCAAGTACTTCAGAGTTTATTATTTTAACCTACCTCTTTGTGGAGTGCTCTTTTGAGAATTTTGTGCTTGTAAAACAAGATGTGGTAGGCACAATTTTAAAAATAAATTTCATTTTTAATTTTAAGACTTTCCAACACTGAGCTGCTTCCTAGTACTGCAAAAGCCTGATCTCAAGCAAACTCTGGTTTGCATTTTTCCAGTACTCTGTTCCATCACAGACTTACCAGTGGCATGAAAGACAGTACACATTGAGCAAAACACAGCATTTTGCTGGTAGAAATTTCAATTGATATTGTCTTAGCCTTTCAAGAAATTAAGACTGGAACCTAATCAGAAATAACCAAGAAATAGCCTAACATACCAACAAAGAACAATGGCACCTCGGTTTACTTCTGCCCAGGTCTTCATATTCTCAATACCAACACATTCCACCAAGGTTCTTCCAAAACAAACTGTAAAATGTGGGAAAGAGGTAGGGAGAAGAAAAAAATTAGACAGTGTCTTTGTATAAAGAAGCCTATTAAAAGTTCTCTGCAGTCATAATTTAATCAAATAGTTTTCAGCCACCAAGCATTCACAAAGTTTTGCTCTCTCAAAATAATCGACCACCGAATGCAAATAATACCTTTATAGACGTTTCGCTACTTCCAAGCATTGTTTAAAATTAGTTAGATAACAGCAGCACCATGAGACAGTCTACTAGTATAAAGCAGACAAATCTGCAGTTTCATTTTTAAGAGTGTCAAAGTTTATTCATGTCTTTAATAAAGGCATCCACTGCAAAGAAAGGACACCACCCACACTGGATGATTATATGCAATATATTAATATATACATACCTCTGCTGAAAAATGATACCTTTTTAAGCATCTGATTCTATAACTGAAGCAAGAGAATGAATTTACTTCAAACTTCAGAGTTAATCCTACACTGAGGCACGAAAACCACTAGGAACCCTACCTCTTTCAGGTGTACTGATGCCACAGGCCTCTCTTTCTTCAGTAGCTTTGAAAGCTAAAGCTGACTTGCAGATTCACTGCACTAAGGGCATACGCAAAAGAAAGAACCTAGGCTGACCTCAAGTCTCCAGCTGAATTTGAAGAACTGAACTTCAGGGAAGCTGCTCTTCCAGCTTGTATGCCAAGCAAACTTACCAGTAAGCTTCCCAAAAGAATCCACCCAACCCCAACAAACTTTAAGCTCCAAAAAAACACTGAAGCTATTTTTCACTGCTGCTTTAGATCAGAATTCCATCTGATGGACAGGTCGGTTTCTATTCAACTTGTTCCCTACGTGATAACGATTTGGTTGTTTTCTTTAATGCCAATTCCATAAACTCAGATCAACAATTCTGAATGGTGCACTCCTTGGAGGAAAATAAAGAAACCAAAGGGAACAGCTTGTGTTTAAAACGGGCAGTGCATGACGTTAGCAGAAATAAATCCAGGTAACTATCATCATCTCAGTTAGGCCAGTCTCCGAAAGACAATATAAAAACCTCCCCTTTACATACTCCTGGTCACCCAGCTGAGAAGTAGTAAAACAGCCTCCTTTCAGAAACATTTAATACAGGCCAAGTAACTCTTATTTTTAAAGAAAACAGTGGATACCTGAATGTAGTAAGAAGAAAAAAAAAAGTTCAACAACATTTGATAATTCTAGAAAGGAAAAGCCCACTACAGATTGAGAAGTTCCCTCCAGATTATACTGTGCCACCCCCACATTCTTTCATTTTTGAGGTTTTTATATGAGAGAAAATAATCTCTATTAGGACATGGTGATTCACACAACAATATTTTACAGTTACGTAATAAAATAAGTTTAAAAGATAAGCTAAGATGAGAACATCTGTGCCCAATCTCTGCCTTCTGGGATATAAACAGCAAAGAGGTCCTATTTTTGTGCATGAATTATTGTAATAACAGTTATAAAGCATTAACCCAGCAGCACTAATGAACACAAAGATTACAGTTTGGCTCGCAAGCACTAATGAAACAAGCCTTCCTGCTAGGAAAAACTTTCTATTATTATCCCTTAAATTGCTGTGTAATTTAGCAAAGCTATCAAGACATTTTAAGCACAGAAACGAACCCTGTCCCATGTACACAGTAAACCCCTGAGGAAAAGAAAAAAAAAAAAAAAAGACCAGTACTTGCTTTGCAGAAAAAGCAAACGTATCCTCTGCATTCTGTTTATGTAACAGCTCACAAAAGCAAGAAGATAGAAGCAATAATCTTAGATATGTTAAAATTCCCATGTATTGGTATATTCAGAGAAATAAATACAGCAATGTTATTTTAGGTTGGATAACTGATTACTCTAACATCACAATTTTGTAAAATAAACCTGAATTTCCAACATACCTTCTTTTCCACTCTCTCTCATTTTTTCATCTTGGCCTATTAACCATTTCAAAACTAGATGGCCAGCTGGATGCTCTGCAATGTGAAGCTTTAAAGGGAAAAAACCGAACCAAAACAAACCCAAATTACTTATGATGTGTCACAACACAGTTAAGTCTGCATATAAATACTTCTGCTTGATTTATCCACTCTGCCCTCACGTCACACTGACCACTTAGTCATCATCTATGCAAATATCAACGTTTCATGCAAGTATCTGACTCATTTCTTAAAGTGACTGATTTATTTTTTACCACCTTCCCTGCAATATCTGATTTTCAGAAATATAAACCATATCAAGCAATGTTTCATTCACACCTCCAAGGATTTCATGCTTACTGAGCAGAAGCTCTTGGTCTAGCTGCCTCTACAAGAACTCCCAGACTTCCCACATTTTCACAGACTTGAAAAATCACTACAGTATGGTTCACAGAAAACATGAGTAGTTCATGTAAAATGCGTATCTTAAAGGGGAAAGACAGAGCAAATTCAGCACCACTATGAAAATCCGTAGGGCATCTATCTTAAATACAGCATGCACAGCATTTTTTGTTTTCTAGTCCACAGAAACATATCTGACTGAGCTTAACTCAGCAAAACAGCAGAGCAGCACACCTTGAAGAGAAGGCTATACTGTGAAGGCAGACAGCTATTGTCTATGATCTTTCCTTGCATGGAAATACGCATACCGGAAAGCTAAGAGACCCTATCATCATTCTCAGCATAAACAGTCAAATGAACTATAAAAACTTACTAACTAATTGATTGCACAGCAATAACATTAGAAGAGAGACAGTGTAACTGTAACATGTCAGCTACCTTCACACCGAGTGTTTAAAAGTAGTTCTGAAGACTCAAGATCTTGGAAGTGCCTTGCTCTGTAACTCAGATGAAATGCTGGCCCAAGCTTTATCACTCCAGATACAATATTAACAAACTATGACAGGAAGATGTCAGAAAACAGAGCCCACATCTAATGTACTGGTGCTATCATGGCAGTATGCTGTTATCTTGCATAAAGGAGATAGTGAGCAGACTTCATTTTAGTCATACAGAATAAGCAAACTCTCTGCAAGATCTCAGCACTCTGCCCTCCGTTACGTTACCTGCCCATCACGGCCACCTGGAATCAGCTCTTCTGCTGCCAAACTAGCAATTGCATCTAGTGCAGGCTGGATGTCACCAAGGGCTGTTCTTAAGATGTCAGCAACCAAGACAAAGGTAGCTTTGTCTGTCACGACTTCTTGAGTATGTTCTTGCAAATATTCTAGCAAAGGTGAGGAAATGGCTTCTAGGAGTTCACGGCGGCGGAGTTCAGTATTCTTCTTACTGATGAAAGAGACAACTCATTATTGTAGAAGACTTGGTCTGTATGCACATCAAGCAACGAGAAATTCAGAACACATATGCTGTTTGGGGCAGCTATAAATCACTGGAAGATCAAAACAAAGTATTATTTTTCTCCCTTTTTCACATTAAACACATGTTGCACACACATTTCAAGAACACACGGAGTGAGAAAATGTGTGGTGTTTAAAGCTGACTGGCAATAATCCTCAGAGTTTTTTGTAAACAATGATAATTTAACCTCTGTTTATTTTCTATTCATGCTGCTATCTCAACTACTGAGATGTGGTTTTTAAACAGCTCACTAATCGGCTAGAATGGCTCTTTCTTCAAAAGTCAATAAGCATCAAAGTCAATACGAGAGGCTGAATTCAAATTAACAACTTCCATTTTTATTGCTAGATTATGAAACATACTTGCAACTCAAAACACCAGTAACGCTTACTAAAAATTTTCTGCTATGCCAGATTTGATATGTGAGTTCAGACAAAGCACATAGCACAATTTTTGCCCTTTACAAAGGGGAAAAACTGCTGATCACCAATAAATTGCTAGTCACCAATCATCACATATGAACATAAAACCAAAAATGCAGAAATAGGGACTACAAACCTAATAATACTTAGGTATTACTTATATATTTTTACATCACTTAGATAACCTAGGAATAAAAGCTGAAATTAAATCAATCATGACAGAAAATTGCACAAATTGCTCTGGACTCCAGGGAAAACAACTTAATATCCAAGTTACCTATAGGCATTTCCATCTCCCTGTTGCAGAAGTGTGATGATTTCTGGAACAAAATGTGCAGGGTCTCTAGGGCTTAGCAAGTATAACAAGACCTTCTTTCCATATTTGTTGTTTATTATATTGGGCAAAGAAGCTTTTATTTCCTGCAAAAATAAACAAACAGTAATAAAACATTAATGAAATTATAGTTTTGAGCCATCAGTAATTACCGATTACCTTTCAAATGCAAAGCTTAGAAAAGAAATACTACATAACATGGCTAAGAGTCAACCTGCTTGTGACATTAAATATAAAAGACTCCAGTTAGAATGAAACTTTGGAGAAGTGAGAGAAAGAAGAAAAATATTAAGGTTTAAAATGTGTTCATCAATGTCACTGACTGGAAAATACTACAAAGGACAGGATTTGTTTTCACCAATACACGCACGTACAAAGAACAACACGTATTCTGGCATGTCATACGCTGTACAAATATAACCTCAGTAAAAGTCATAACCTCTGCAGTCCAGACCTACAAAGGATCCCCTACCACATCACCTAAGAGCAATCACTGAAATCATGCTGACTTTCAAGGGACTGAAAGACTGCACATAGGCACCTAGATGGCAATGACAGTCCATGAGAAGGAAAAAGTCCATCTAGAACTGATCACAGAACAGTCAGCAAGAAAAATTGAGTTTCAATAATGAAATAAAGCTGACTTCTGCTGGGAGTATTATTTGCAGTTCATCTGAGCACTAACAGACAACACTGGGCTAGCCAGATAGTCATTGGCTAGGAGTAACCACTTCGTAAATTACAGAGTGGGCACCTCATACACTTGTGCACTAACACAGATGAGGAAGAAACACATTAATATGCAGGAGAGTTTTCTTGCTTATAGAAGCATACTGCTGTATTCAGATGGAAGCTCCTGTATTAGCCCATCTGTTTGTACTCAATTTTTGAAAGTTTCTCAATAAATGCCCTTTCATACAGCAACATGCTTTTTATGCTATTTCCAAGTACCACTGAAAAATCCTAAATACCATGCAGATACTCCTGACCATTTTCATAATCTATTCCTGGAAACTTTTGATATACATATTGAATGTATGATTATCAAAGGGCTGTACAGAGCTCTGGGCACTTTCTGCAGGCCATACCCATACCCCTTAAAACCCTATTTTCCCCACTATGAAAATCCTTCCTGCAACAGCTAGAAAACAGATAAATAAAACAAAAAGATAGATAAATAGATAAATAGAACAATTTAAACCAATGTCACTATTAAGATGGGGGACAGGCTGGCTGTCTTTGAGGGGATGAGAAACAGAAAAAGGTGGATGGAATCTGGCAGGAAATAGTAAGAAAACATTCGTATTTCAAAAACATTGCTTAAACTTAGGTGGAAATGAGTTTTGGCAAACTGAGATGAACATCAGTTTGATAGAGCACTGTACCTATGAATAAAAACCTGTTAGTGTAATTTTTACACTCAACATGGGGGAAAAAAAAGAGAAAAAAAAAAAGTATTTTCTGAGGGAAAAACACCCCAAACCACGTTCTGTCTTTTCAGCACATACATTAACATTCAGATGTTTGTGAAGTTCATTTATCAATTAAATGGATGATAAAGGTACTAAAGTACTTCAAAACTTTTAACAGGTAAAGAAAGTACTTAGTTTAGTACCAATAAACAGAAAAATGACCTGCACTACAAAATCAACCTATAACATAGCCATTTTGCATAAAAGATAGTAAATACATTTTTCTTTAAATCCTCCAAAAGTTTATCCCCCCCCGATTTCATGGTTTTGATGAATTACAGGAGCACTTGATCACTTTCGCTGCCAAAAGTGTGAGAAAGTACCAGGAGAAACTCTAAAGGAAACAGACATGCTGTCTCTTGTGGGTAACATCTGCCTAGCACTGTCTGCTTGGAATTCTCATGAAAGACAGGGATTTCCCACTGAAAATCTGCCTGAATCCTGACAGATGCCAAGCTCACATTGTAGAATTCCAATCACATATGAAGGTTTAAAGCACCATACATATTCTCTGGTCCTGAATTAAGACTCGATGGAGCTGACAGATGATGCATATGAAAGACTTTCCTTGAAGGATTTAAAGAGCTTAAAACCTTCCCTTACCTACAAATTCCCAGCCATTCTGCCAATCCACAGAAGCGATCAGTTTCATAATACTACCAAAAAAAACTCCAATCCCAAAAGACTCCCCAGACACTGCTTCTTCTCCCTCCTTCCTCCCCCCAACCTGTATTGTTTTCCTTATGTTCCTGATGCTACATTTTAGTACAGACGGAACGATAACCAGTATAAGGTGTTTTAGAAGTCTTAACTTCTCTTTAGGATAATTTTAAGGGTTAGATTCTTTTATGCTTCAATGCTTGATTTCCAGATGGTTCTACCTCACCCTCTGCTATTCGTTTTCATTCACCATCTAAAGAGCTTGTTTTGATCTCACCTGGTATTTTTTTCCCTTTTCCCTGACATCTTTTCTCTGTTCCTGACCTCATAAAAATGCAGATAGGCCAATTCTGCAGGTGTGAAGGCCACTCCTCCTTATTCTCCCTCACTCCTATGTCCAGACTGATGCAGCAGTATGACAAACAGTAAACACTCCATTATCTTTGACCTCAGATGGTGGAAAAACTCAGGTCACGCAAGAATTAAACAACACCTTGGAAGCTCAGTTGAAGTCAAGCACAGTATCTGAGCGAGTGAACTCTCCAGAAAGCAGAGCACTTGTAACATAGTACAGGAACACCTCAATAATCTCATACCAAGACAGCTTGGATTTGCCAGGGCTTACTTACTCAGAACCTGCCCACCAGTAGTTAAGTTACAGACTGGACTCTGGAAACAAAACCCAGTTGTGATTACAGCTAACATCCCCAAGAAACAAAAGGCATCTCCACACTGGGATGCTTTCATCTCTCCACACCCAACACAGAGGCAGACTTCCAGCCAGATCTCCATGAGAGGGTATAAAAACCCAATTCGCCCCTACACAGTTGCTCAGTGGAAAAACTGCTCACATGTTTTAAAGCAAGCCTCATCATAACCACTTTCTCTCCCCATATTCCTCCTCCACAAGCAGTTATTTGACTCATCTTTACCTCCCTGCCATTGCCTCTCAACTACTCAGTCCTAAAAGCTACAGCATGTGTACTACCATAAACACATTATAACCTATACTTCAGCATTAATTATCTTGTTCCATGAAAATCAATTTTATACTGTGCAGTCTCTTTTATCAGTGTGGAAAGATAACTTCATGGTAATTTACAGATTAAAGCATCTTAGAAGTCATAAAATTTGCATGGAAACATAACCTTATGTATAAATACTATGAAAACCTATTAAATAATTTTTGGAAGGAGGGTGGTGAAATGGGGCACATGAAAAGGAAGCAGATGCCAGCTAGATCATGTTCATTCTGCAATGCCATGTAGGTGAATGAAAACAGCTAGAGTGATCTCACGCTTCAGATATCTATCTGTATCCATTTTTAAAGCAAGGTAAAAATATCACGTGGATTCTATCCAGAATGTTAGTTGTCATTTAATTACCAGCACGTTAAACAAAAATGTCATTCTGAGAATGAATGCAAATTAATGGTTTCTGCATCCAATCAAAAGCCTCCACATACTTTTTCTTGTTTGAAGTCATGGTATATTATATTCAGGTCTGTTACCGTTAAAATTAACTGTAGTTTGTCTTAAAGTATTACTTTCTGAGATGCTACTTTTGCAAAAGAGAAGAGCTAAGTGTGCCAAACAACCTTTTTTACAATAGTAAGTTTGCACAATAAGGATATTCTAGGCACAGATATTCTTGACATTTTAGGTTTGCTTGTAAAATGGATAAGGTGGCATCCTCATTCTGAAGTTTTCCACCAATTTAATCTCTTAAAATACAAGCAGAAGTCAAACTTCTACAACAAAGAGATTGACTTTAAGGAGATTCCAGTCATCCATTAGCCAGATTGAACATGTACAAAAAGGGTAATTTTCAGCAAGCACTGAGTCTAGCTTTAAAAATAATTCAAATAACAGACTAAAGAGAATATATGAAAGTGCTGAGGTCTTCTATGAAAATTAAAAGTAATCATGACACACAAACATAATGAAACAAAAAAGGTGGAAAGATATTAAATGTTTTGAAAAAAGTGGCAGTATTCCTACTCTTATCCTCCTATATACTGACACAATTTTAAGAAAAATTAAATTACTTACAGATATAATTAACTGTTTCACAAGTTTAGTGTCATCAATACAGTCAAATGCTGCCAGCAAGACCAGATGAGAAAATTCACCCTGCAAAGATGAGACATCAGAAACCACACACAGTCAAGTTCTGTGAATATACTAACTGAAGTAGAATCAACATTTCTGAGAGCTTGTCTCAAACACAACATGAACCAACAAGCAAATTCTGTCTACTGTCATAGAATAATAGAAGCCCAATATTTAGACTTGTTCTGAAAGCAAAGCTTGTTAAGAAAAGCACATTGTTAAAAATGTGCACATTGTTAAAACAAAGGTGGATTAAATTAATCTGCCGTTGTAAATTGATATGCTGCTTTATCACATCCAAACTATTAACCTAACCCTATTGTTAATCACCGTTTAAAATCACAGGATTTGCCTTGCAAGAACTTTACAAACAGATTTTATTTCTATGGTGGATTTGTTTAAAACAGATAAATCACACAGTGTATTTCTGGAGATCATGTCCCTGCAGTGAGCCATGCAGTCTCTGCTGCACTGTTGGAGAGCACATTTCTAGCATGCTCAAAAGGGCACAGCCAAACTCACTTCTTTGTCAGTGAGACTCTGTGTCCAACCGAAGCCAGACCTTCAGTGCTCTAGTGTTGTTTTAACTACTATTTACCTGGTCTTATATTTCTATATAATAGATATTTTATGAAATATATCAAAATATGTATTCTGATACTAAAAAAAACTGTGGAGAGAAACACTACTTAGACCTGTGGCCTCCAAAGTGCCATGCACAAGACAACCCATTGTGGTGCAGGAAGAAAATATTTTTGTACCAGTAGTAGATATATAAAAATAACCAGTGTTTACATCGTCCTCCTTGAATTTCTATTTCTGTGTAAGTTTTATTACGTACACTAGTGCAGTAGGACATGTACACAGTTACATATACATAAATATACTGGGGATGCATGCTCAAGGTTGTATGACCAAAAGAGACCCCAACAACTATTGGTAAACAGAACAATACAGCAACCAGGAAGGGAAGAATTTTGAAGAGCTTTTCTTCACAACTGCAGTTTTGCCCAGCACTATGAAATCCGGATGCAGATGCTAGTCTATTGGTTCTGCAGTCTCCAAATATACACACTACTCAGAAAAAAAAATTTGATACAGACTTCTTCCACTGTATGTCACTTCAGCATTTTGAAGCTTCCTGACTTAAAATGTGGAAAAAAATTTTTAAGACTTAAAATTAACCCAGCTACTTTAAAGAAGAATAGTATTACATATAGCACCCACAGTGAAACTTCTCGGTATGTTTCTAAATATTTAATGAAGTTCAACATATTTCATATTATCTAGTACATCACCACTATTATAAACCTAGTTTAATTAAGATCTCATAGTTGTTTCCCAGTACCAATGCACATCCACATTAGCCCCTATCAGATCACTTTTGCTTCAGACACTATGAAATAAATGGCTAATGAACACTCACCATTGTTATTTTTTCAATATATGTCTTCATAGTTTTCACAATGACTTTTCTGTCCTACCCAAAAGGAAACAAGAAACTTGAATGAGCCTGGAGATGCCAGTGATTCTGAACAACAGTGGCTATTTACACCTTCAGAAAGATAACTTTCAATTTGCTTTCTAAAGCAAAGGCTATTTACTGAAGTCTCACATTTATATTATTGGTCAACACCTAGAAATGGTGCAGAGTTAAACCTGAACTGTGAAAGCCTCAATTCCAGGGAGGTTCTGTGACATGTTCACAAGTCCAGCCCACCAATGGAAGATGTCAAAAAGGGCAACTTGAAAACAAAACAATAATTTAAAAAAAAAAAACAAACACAAACAACAAAACCACCACATATGTGCAGCTGTATCTTGTTCATTACTTACAGAAGAATGAACTTCAACTCTTCATTTGGAAAGAAACTTATTCAACAGGACCAGAAACTCTGAAGTAGCAAGGAATCTAGCCTGTTGCAAAAACCCTTTACGAGCAAGATTTTTTTTTTGGCAGAAAGTTTCCTCAGTGCTTGTACTTCCAGCTCTTGAAATGACTGCTCAGCCTTCTTTACACTCCTTATTACCTCTAGATCCTGGCAACTTAATATTCTTTTCTGCACTCTTTAAGAAGCATTTTCATAAGTTGTCTTTTTTTTTTTTTAAAATACAGAAAAAGGGATTACAGTATTTCCAAGAGCTGATGGCACATGTTACACCTAAAGTATTTCAGGCTACTGTCAGCAGAGAAACTAAAGCACAGTTCCTATAATGTTTTCTAAGTCTCAGTGTTCCAAAGCCAAATATTGTTCCACATCATGACTTCTTTACTGTCCTCTCCCTACTGCCAATTTCACCTATATTAAGACATCTATGGCATGAATTAATGGCCAATAACCTTAAAATGGAAGACCTTTGTGTGTCATCTCCAAGAACTCTCCTAAAAATGAAAGGAGATGCTTCCACTATAAAAGCTCTAATGAAAGCACTTGATTCACAAAAAAGTACTGCTTGTATTTGCCAACACGTAAAGTGAGGCCACTTTTTAATCTTCTTCTCAAATACTTAGCTACATCAAAACGTAAGCTGGCAGAAGGACCCATGTGAGCACTCATACCGTCTCAGACCACACTGAAGGAGGACTGGGTAAAGGAACAGAAACCAAACAATACCTTGGGAGTACCATGCCATAAGCAGTGCATCGCTACTCGGGCACCATCGTGAGTGTGTGCCAGGTAAATGACAGCCTCTCTGATAGCTTCTATCATTTCCTGGGGAAGAAAAGGCAATAAAGCAAAAAGGTGAAAGAAAAAGCCTGAGAAACATCAAGGTGGGTGGGCAAGGGCATGAAAGGATTTTTTGTCTGCCCACAACACCATAGAGAGCAACACTGACTACAGAAACACTCACACTGCCTTGTACTATGAAAAAAGGCCTCAAAAGGAGTCAAAAAAGACTGTAAATGACATAAGCTTTCCTTCTTCAAAAGTATCTTGTTCATCATACCCATCCTATGAGACTGAAACTGTATTAAAGCTTGTCAGTTGTCCTGTTGACGACATTCAAGGAAGGGTGCTCAAACCGAGACTAAAATTAGAGGAGACAAAGACAGCCCTTCATTTAGAAGAATCTCTTTTGAGGGTGATGCAATTTATTTATACACACAGGGTATTAGCCAGAAAGCAAGAGGAATTAACAGGCCATTTAAGCACCAGGTGATATTATAAATCAGATATGACAAGATTCAGCCAAAAGTCTGTTTTCATTTCAAGGGAATGAGGTTTTAAAGCTATCTGATAAATAACACCATCAGCCAAAAAAAGGAAAACCATACCAAAAATAACCCTCCTGGGGCTACTAGATACTATTTCTGTTATTATCTGACTATCTGATTTCTTTGACATGAAGGTCCCACCTGTCTCTCTTTCTGTCCATAGCTGCTTCTTGCTCCCCAGTCAAAGGTTTCAAGCATTTCACCATTTATTTAGAAACTGCTCAGTTACAACATAGCTGGTGTCACCAGCTGTATGCGAAGGCAAGAACAGATCTACAAAAGGGGTTTTCAAACCCCAAAGAGAATACCCATATGCTACCACGTCTGCACAAAAAGCCAGCTAAGGAGGAAGAGATATGCCCTCACTCCCTTGGATTCACACAAGTCCGTGAATCCAGAGGCATTCTCTGACAAAGCATTACATGAAACCATGCACAGAAACCTTTAATTACGTAAGATCTAGACTCAGAATAGACCACAAATAGTCCACCTCACTACCCTTAGCATTGGGTTTGTTAACAGTAACCCAGAAAAGTGCAGGAGTCCTGTCCAGCAGAAGTAATTAAGAGACAGCAAGCCCAGAAGGCTCCACCTGGCCTGGAGTGAGAGAGTGCCAAACTGCAGAACCAGACACAGGTTGGCGGACACAGACTGAGGACAGGGGAAGTCAAGCAGGATGCCAGCTTATGCAGTGTCACATCACACAGATGGATTTAGACCTCCTTTTTGAAGGAATGGATGGGTAAGCTTAAAAAAGGAATTTCATATACACACAGCAAAATGCTTGATTCAGGAGGAGGCAGAAAACAGTTTTGGAGGCTGACAGAAGGACATAATCTGATTGTATTTTGGTCAAGATTTTTTTGGACAATGGCTAAGCGAAACTACACACTGGAAAGCTAAACTACTGGAAACAATGTCTCTGGCCTTAGTTATTCTCCAGCTACTGCAAAAGACAACTTAGCATGGAGAGGGAAAACACCAAAGATTTTTTTTTTTTTTAAATCAGGTATCACAAACACCATTGCTTTAATGTGAAAGTTCAGTGTGACTATAAATCTCCATACACCACCACTCCCCATTTATCTGGAATTGCTGGATATGTAAAACTCTATAAATATGTGTATTCTTGTCTAGTTGCCTTACACCATTTCATAGTAAGATTAAAAAAACCCCAAACATTCCACTGAAATGCAAGAAAAGATCAAAAAAAAACCCCAAAACATACTTACAGATCTTTGTTTCGGAATAGCATAAGTGAAAAAGTCCAAGAATACTTTATGTACCAGTGAGTGCTTTATCACAGCCTCTCTGTATTTGGAAAGAGGAAAATAAGCAGGAAGTTCCCCATTAAGTAATGCTTTTAACATAGGCTGGCATTATTTCATTTGTATTTAGAAAAGTTAGCCAGAACACAGACATTCTGCATTAGATGTTTAGCATTTACAGCATGTGAAAAATTCTACCAAAATTTACAAATTCTAAAACCTAGCAAAGTATTTTCATAGAATCATAGAATC